AATTACTCTTGCTCTAACATATTATGCAGGTACTGAAAAAAATCATACTTTCAAAACAAAATAATTTTTTTCAAAATTAAGCAACATTTTCAAAACAAAACATAATATGTTCTTTCAAATTTACGGGAGTCCCTCGGAAGAGGTAACCCACGGTTGCTAACGAGATCTCTCCGGTTTAAATGGGTCTCACAACTCATTTAGACTAAGTAAATTCAAAAGAAAATAGTGATATCAGAACGAGGAAACCGTAGGATCCTAACCGGTATCGCTCTGATCAACTTTAACCCCCCATAATGAAAACAAAACTGAGACATTGAAACATGCATGGTACAACCTTTTGAACGTTAGACTTTAGGACTGCTGCGTCGACAAGAAATTTGGAGCAACTTCGTGGGCGGTGCGACAAAGAGTTTGGAGAAGACTACAAGTGGAGGCGGTCGTCATTCTACAACAGCAAAACAAGTCTTCACCAGTTTAATTTTCCTAGTTTAAACAACCCATAGGACTTTGAGGTAGCTCGCCTAGCGCGACGTAATTCTTCACCCTCTTTAGGCCCCTGCACAACCATATTGTATAGCGTAAGTACTAACTCGCCTTAGATTCCGAGGTTGTCGTCCAGAACGACGTAAAACTTTTTACCTCTGTGGGCTATTTGCATAACCAGTTATTATGCAAATATAAGTCCCAAATAATAAAATTGACAGGATTCAACATCCTAATAAAATTCTCAAAAACACAGTCACACAGTAGAATAGTTTGAGAGATCACTAAGGATTCCCCTCTGGATCTGTGACATCCTCTATCATTTACTTCCTTTATTGTTCTTACTTGAACCTTTCCCACTTGTTTTTTCACGTCTTACTTTGAAAACCTGAACTTTGAATTCTTGAAGACTAGAACCATTGATAATTTTTGAGAGTTTTCTTAAGTGATTCCATTCACTTGGAATGTAATTAACTATTGGAGCTTACCTCTATAGGGAACTTGGAACCCAGGTAAAATAAACCCTATTTAATCTTTGTATTAAATAGAGAAATTTGTCGATCACATATAAAAGGTTCATAGACCAAATGAATGTCACGAATCTCTTAGTTTGCAGGATTGGGTCTATTATCGGAATCTACATGGAATGTGTAGTATTCAGGGTGTCAGGCACGATTATGTAAATTATTGGACTAATGAGATCCATTCGGTCTCATTTTTTAAAAAAAATTAAAATACTACTTTCATAATCTAAACTATATACCTTTTACCTTATATATATTTAAATTAAAATTTTCACATCGAAAAGTTGGCTCACAATCTCCTTTAATTAGGTTGTCTAATATTAAAAACACATTTATTAGATTTCCTAGAGTTAAGCTACCTATAATCAAGTTTCCTAGTGTACAACTATTAGATTTATTATTTTCCATAACAATCATCATTACGGCAACAACTATGTCGTGAACATCATTACATGTAAAGGTAAAATGCATGGAACAGTAGCATCACCTAATAAGTACTTATGTACATTTTTATTAAAGATGACAGCAAAAAACCTTAAGGACATTTACAAACATACGAGTTAGTTCCTATGTATTTATATATCTAGTACTATAACTTTTATATTTATAACACTCAAATCATTTATATCACATCAAAAATATTACAATTTTAACTTATAAAAAGTAAAATATACGTCTGTATTCATATGTAATCTAATATATAGGTAAAAGTTAAAGTTCAAGTTTTAGATATGTGAAGATATAGAAATTTAGTGGAATGTAAGTAAATTTCTGAATACTTTAATGTGTACATTTTGTGTTTAAAAATTAAAAGTTTATGTACTTTTTTAACATAGAGGGTTTGAAGAGCTCTACTAACACTATCCCTTACCATGGACATTTTCTAAGCCATGATGGGTGGGTTTAACATTCACACAAATGCCCCTTACAAGAGAAAAATGTTCAACAAACTGCCAAAATTTGCACCAACATGGCCGAAAAGAACAAAATGAAAGGAACTTCATGTACATAAAAAAATTTATTAAATAAAATAAAAATTAAATAAAGATAAAATTGTAAAAAAGAATACTTCAAATGCAATACTCGTTATATCAAATGAACTAATAAGTGCCCAAAATATAACACATAACTAAACTTACAGGAAACTCGGTGACTAGTTGCGACTAGCCAATGAGCACAAACAAGAATTTATTGAGGATTCAAAACTCAAAGAACTAACGAATGCGAGCAAAAAATGCATTGTTCTAAAAGTAAAACAAAAATCTTAATTGCGAACAATCACAAATGAATCTGTAACACATCATGCAAGCAAACCCAATGTAATCTTCAAAAACACATAATAGGAAGTTTGCATGAATCTTAATGACAAAACAAATTGTATAAAATTAAATCCTAATAATTTAAATCCTTTACATATAATAAAAAGAAATTATAAACTTAAAATGCCTCAAAAACCATGCAAGCTACCAAAAATCACGTGCATGTTTTAGAAGGCCCAAAAAAATTGTAAAAATCAAAATGTATGTATGTGCTCTAATTAGCTTCCTAAAAGCTTAAACCAAAATAAAAAAATGTTGTACGGGTTAAAAGCAAGATGAACTCAAATTTCCCCGCCCCTAGAAGTATGCAAAAATAATAATAATAAAAGACAAGTAAATATTTAAAAATTCAAGCACATTTTCAAAATTCAAATTTAAACTCCATATGTGTGCAAGCTCTCAAGCGGACCACTTTACCTATAAGGCGAGTTCCTACACCTTACCTATAAGGAAAGGTCCTACGATTCACATTCTAAAAGATTATAGTTGATAAAAAAAAGCATCGCAATGAGCATTCATGAAGCAAAGTTGAACTAATTACAGTAATAGAATGATTTCAAACTTTCACTTATGGTCTAATTTAACAAACATGTATTATGAATTGCAAATAAGATAGTTAATTGCAAATCCGCTAAAATTTTTATTTTATCTTCAAATAGAATAGTTGAAATCATTAAAAATATTTATTATTAAAGAACAACTCTCAAGTCCATCTACTATATACGTCAAACCATAAAATCCAACTTTTAGACAAACTCAATCCCTTACATATGGGGACAGTCAATAAAATGTATAGTATAATAACATCTAAATGAACTAAAATGATATTCAAACCATAAATCTGACCCTCTAAAAGCAACTGGTTGATCATGTTTCTAGTAACAATGTTTAATACAACAAAATACCCTAAAGATGAGCATATTGGAAGAAAATATCAACCGGAGAAGACTATTATTATTAAAACGAAACGCACCAAAATTTGTATTAAAATGCACCAAAATTTGAATGTAAATTATTTTATGCTCAAGTTTTAATTAAAAATCCCAAAAAATTTCAGAAAAAAAATCTCAAAGAGTTCTATTCTCCACAATATTTTGTAAAGGAAGATAAATATGAAAAAAATCTAAGTTTATAAAAAATCAATGCCATATCAAATATATATTTATGATCATTATCAAAAATTCCATGCCGGTAAGGGCGTAGTATTTATGCTCTGATCAGGTGATTTTATTAAAAAATGGCACCACAAATCTGCAGATATAACCATGGCACTCTTTATGGTCACGGCCAAAGCCTATAAGCTCACCAATAGCTCAATCTCCTAAGTAATGAAACATAGACTGCGCTTAATAGGGTACAAAACCCTTTATCAGCTAAGGCATCCACCTGAAGTTTACAAAAACCCTTTTGAGTGACACAACCACAGGCAAGTGACAAGATCCTTAAGCAATGTTTGGCTACGATGCGGATCTACGATAAATAGAATTTATCAAATCCACAAAATCCTGTGAGCTTGCGACGGAAATGGTGCACGCAAGCAACGACAGAGTAAATTTGTTTAATCTGTCTCCCAGTCGGATTTGATAAATCTGGATTTACGTTACACAGCAGACGAAGTGAGGGAAAAGAGATGGAAAAAGGAGAGAATTTGATTTAACGGAGAGTTGGATTTTTTTTTCCCGTTAAATCTTCATTTATATGGTGTTTGTCTAGATTTAGGTTAAATTCATGGCTAAATCCTACTAAAATTGTACTACCAAACACCACCTTAGGTTAAGTTGGGTTACCTCAATTGATTATATAAACCAAAATCCATGATAATCAGGAACAACAAAAGTATGTAAGCTTGGTCAGGTTCATTATCATTCCCCTATTATCTACTCTAAGCTAACAACAATTAACAATCTCTTCTCAATGTCAAAATTGTTGCTATTGTAGGCTTAGGCTAAGTATTTAGCGCCTATTGACTGACTTTATCAAAAGTTCACTCTAATGACCGTGAGAGATAAATAACCATAAGGGCTTATGCTTGTGGGAAATCTTGAATCAAAATTAAAGTTTTCTTAAAATGAAAGTAATATGTCTGAGTAGTTTATTATCTAATATTCAGTCTATCTTCTAAAATTTTATCCAGAAATAAAACTCTCTTAGAAGAGTTGGGCAATTATTTTTGGAGCGCACGCATACTTCGTATGTTCCTCATTTTAAAACACTAAACCATGGCATTCTCATTTTCCCAATTTTCAGTTTGAATCATCTTCACTACGAATTGTCAAAAAAGTAAATCTCAAACTCAAAATAATGATCCTACTAAAGAAAGCAAATCACAGTTCAATTTTAGTCTATTGTTATTGAAAGACCGATAGGCCTCATAGTAGAATTTAATAACAAAAAGGTGCATCATTAATTACCCTGACAAGAAAATACTTTTTTTAGTTAAAGTAGATGACTCTAAAACCCTAGAAAAAAAATAAAATGAATTTCAGTTGCAAAATCTACAAGCGTATGATAGAATAGAAAGTAATTCAATCAGTGTTATTCATGATTAAAGAGAGTTAAATTGATCCATTTCAAACTCAAAAGAATTTAGAGCGTAGAGAACAAGCATAGGAATTTCAATCAGTGCACTAAAGGTATTAAAAAGATGCTAGAGATGAAAAAAACAAACAACTACCTCTCCCTCAACAATAACATCAATCATCCTTGGAGGCACAATGATGTCTTCAACAAATTTTGACAATTTGGACTCTGCTGTCTGACAAAAAAACGTACAAGGAGAAGAGTTTATCAGGAATATTCATTTCTTATGCAAAATCTACTAGTCAAATCATAAATGATCCAAAAGAGGAAAAAGGTAGCAATGTCATTTATACAAATTTTACATCCATTTCACCGCTTCTCAGTAACAAGTTAGCATAGCAGAACACTTCAGAACTCAACTCATATAGTCAATCCAATAACCTGAAAGAGACTACACATACCTTGCGATTTTTCAGCTTCAGACCCATGTCCATGGATTTCTCTTGAAGACTTTTAATATCTGAACTTATAGAGCCAATCTCAGCCTAACACAAAGATTTCAAAGATAAGTTGTCAGCCTAAAGCATTTTCAATTCATAAAATAATAAAAAAAGTATAAATAAAGCGAATGAGGCAAATATTATATATAATGCATGAACTGATTATAATACGAAAGCAATATTTTGAGAAAATGCAGCTGGCTTAATTTTAGAAAAATGTGAATGGTTAAGAATAATGAATGAATTTGAAATTTTGAAAGTATAGAATGGCAAAAGTTAAATAGAATTTCTAAATATTATCCTCATTATCATTGTTATCATAGCTACCGTCGCCATCCCATCCTCATCCTCATCAACATCACCTTATTTTAAAATTTTGGAGTCAGTTTTTTGTACATTCCTTTTCCATTTATCCCCATTGAATGTTGTTAAGTTTCAAAATCCACTCACTAATCATTTGAATAAAATATATTACCTCAAATCTAACCATTTCTCTGCTAATCTTTCTACAGTAACTCTATCTGTCCATCTAATTAGCGCATTTTCTATCCATTTGTTGTACATGCCAAATTACCTAAATCTATTATTTTATTACCTAAATATATTTTCAACTATTATATCTTCAGTAAATAAAATCTTAAATATTTATTTAAATATTATCATTTATTAAATTATTTTCTAATATAACACAAGCATATGTGTGTGGCACACGCAAGTGTATGCATGTATATATATAAATCCATTATTCTAGAAAATAGATCCATGATACTTAATGACACCGAACAAGCCAAATGGGGGCTTGCAGTAAAGGAGTTGGCTCCTGAATTGAACCCAAAAAAAAATCAGAATAACAACTTTCACAAAGAGGTCTAGCATTATCCCAATAAAACACCACCTGAAGGAAATTATTCAGGATACAAACCAAAGAATTAACTGTCCAAAGAACTTAAAATTGCATTTCAGCCAAAAGACATCTTAATTACAATAAAAATTCATAGATAATTGTTGGCAATATCAGCAAATAAAACCAGATGTTGGCAGCATTTGCAAATAAACTAGAGCTTACAAATTTAAAAAAAGCTATGCTCTGAGACACTTCAATTTAACTGATCAAAAAACAACTTTAACTTTTGATAATACCTAATAATTATTAAAAGCATATCAACTTAAGCTACATATCATATACGTAGTCTTTATTTTACCATTTTTAAGATATATATTATGTGAGCTTAAGAGGGGGAGCCGAAGGAAGACACAGCGTTACAGGGAGCAACGCAAAATATCCCGCACTTCCTTCGTTTGAACCGAACCATTCCAGATCGGGGAGGACCAATCAGCCTTTCCATTATGGTTTAGGCCTCATTCCCATAGAGGGATCAAATCTTAATTATCTAGGGCTTATATATGAGTTTCTTTTGTCTTAAATTTTTAGTTTTTCTTGTGTTTTCTATTGGGACAGCCGTCAGCGTCTACAATTCTCCCTACTAAGTTTGTATATGAAAGTGAGAAGGTGTTCCAACATGCTGAGGTGGTGTCTATCTACCATTCCCTGCTTCCCCGCTGCCTGACCCCTTGTTGCAACCCTGTCGAACTAATTTGTTGGTTGCATGTTGCTTCCCTACCGCTAGTCTTCACTATTTGCTGCTCCCCTGTCCCTAGCTCCACCCTGTCCTAGTTGTCGCCCTGCCTGCTACTCTCATGCTGCCAGCTCCACCCTTGTTGTCGCTCTCCTACAACCTCCTCTTTCATTGTCGAAGTCCAGTCGCCAGACACCTCGCATAAATTGTTGCCACCTGTCAAACTACTTTGTTGGTTGCATGTTGCTTCACTACCGCTAGTCTTCACTATTTGCTGCTCCCCTGTCCCTAGCTCCACCCTGTCCTTGCTGTCGCCCTGCCTACTACTCTCATGCTGCCAGCTCCACCCTTGCTGTCGCTCTCCTGCAACCTCCTCTTTCATTGTCGAAGTCCAGTAGCCAGACACCTCGCATAAATTGTTGCCACCTCCCCCTCCCAATCTCCTATACCTCTCTACTATAGCCCTCCTAGCATACATTGTTGTCACCTTCCCACTACCTTCGGTTCAAGACCTAGTTTGGTATTTGTGTAGCATCTTTTGTATTTCTTATTTCAGTATGTGTTTTTTGTAACCCCTTGTTTATCTTTCAATTATAAAAATTAGATTTTTCATGTTATTTGGTTAACTCTAATATCATTTGATATCAGAGCTAGCATAACCCAAGTCATATCCTAGACTTTCTAGCATCCCTCATATCTCCACATAATTTCTAAATATTATCCTCATAGTTATTTGGTTAACTCTAATATCATTTGATATCAGAACTAGCATAACCCAAGTCATATCCTAGGGTTTCTAGCATCCCCCATATCTCCACATAATTTCTAAATATTATCCTCATAATCATTGTTATCATAGCTACTTTCAAGGAGGCAATTTTCGGAACCTGATCAGGTGTTCACTATGGACAAGAGACAGTGACTACTCCGCATCATATTACAGCGACTCGACACCACTCAGGAATTAGAGTGAACTTTTGATTAAGTCAGTCAATAGGCGCTTATGGTTAATTATCTCTCACGATCATTAGAGTGAACTTTTGGTTAATTATCTCTCACTATCATTAGAGTGAACTACTAGTCAAGAAAGACACTGAAACACAATAGGCGATTTAGGCACTACTAGTCAAATCTCAAGATCTGAGGCTAACAACCTACCAGAGGGCCTACCCCACTTAAGGATATTCAACATGTCATTGATCTCATCCCTGGATCAATACTACCAAACATGCCTACTTACAGACATAGACCAGTGGAATATGAGGAGTTGCAAAGACAGGTGCAGGATCTCATTGGGAGAGGGTTAGTGAGAGAGAGTGTCGGTTTGTGTGTTTTTCCCGCTTTGATAATGCCTAAGAAGGAAGGGTCATGAAGGATTTGAATTGATAGTCAAGCTATCAATAAAATCACTATCAAGTAAAGGTTCTCTATATCTTGCCTAAATGATCTATTAAACCAGTTGCATAGCGACATTACATATTCCAAGATCAACGTGTGCAACAGATATTACCAGATCAGGATGAGGCCCGGAGAAGAGTGAAAGACGACCTTCAAGACCAGAGACAGGTTGCATGAGTAAGCCTTCAAGCACTTTGGGTTGTCTGATGCGTCTAGCACGTTCATAAAGATGATGAACCAGGTGTTATGGTTTACATTGGGAAGTTTATGGTCGTTTACTTTGACGACAACCTTGTCCACAATAGATTAGAGGAGCATTTGCAGCATCTGGAACTAATCTTCATGATTCTACAAGCAAAAAAAAACTATATGCCCAACTGAAGAAGTGCTACTTCGTGATGGAGCAGGTATGTTTTTTGAGTTATATTGTATCTAGTGCAAGCATTCAAATGGACCCTACGAAGATAGAGAAGATCGTGAGTTAGACACCACCACAGTTCTTTACCGAGCTGAGAGGAGAGAAAGTTCCAACAGACTGAGGAAGCGCAATCCAGTTTTGACATTTTAAAGGAAAAAGTGGTTGAGGCCCCACTGTTAGCTATACTGAATTTCAACCAGTTTTTCGACATGGAGTGTGACAATTCCAATGTAGGAGATCGGAGTAGTGTTGAGCCAGGTAAGACACCCCATAGCCTTCTTCAATGATAAAATAAATGAGTCTTAGAGAAAAAGTTCGACAGACAATAAGGAATCCCACGCCATTGTGAGGCTCTTCACTACTGAAGTCAACTACCTGGTGACGAGGGAATTCACTCCGTCCACAAATCATGAGGCTTTGAAGTTCTAGAATAGTCAAAGCAAGCTGAAGGGCAAACTTCTTTCCTTGATTGAGTTCTTAGCATCATTCTGGTTTGTGCTTCAGCATAAGACCGGAAATCAAAATCGAATAGCATATGCCTTGAGCCGCCACAATTTGCTAAAACAGTTTGTCAAAATCAAGTAGCATATGTCTTGAGTCACCGTCATTTGTTGATCACCTCCAAATATGACAGTTGTGGGATTCAAGATGGTGAAGATGTATGAGATAGATGAGAATTTCAGGGAGATTTGGAAAGTGTCAGAAAAGGAGACCAAAGCATATTGGATATATTGGATATACTAGTGGTCGAATACATTTTTACCCAACAAGCTTAACCCTATGAACCCTATGAATGAGGATAAAACAAATCATATTGCTACACCAATATATTTATCATCCGTTTAAAGTGAAAATAACATCACAACTTCATATGCCATGGCAATCTCTCCCTTACGTGAAAGCGCGCCATATAGAATATCATGCACCAACTGCCCACTCAATTGTGTGGAGATATCATGAGAGCCACCCATTCATGAACCTTACTCAACCATGATGGATGTCAATCAAAAACCAAGGAAGTCATAACCACAAGAACCAGTTGATCATGGCCGAACCATCATCTCTAATACCATTTGCAAAGGAATGTGTGAATCGGAAAAGGGGATTAAAATTGGGCCAATTATACCAATGGTCAAAACTATTTTTAAAACAATAGCTTAGATCTATGGGTGAGTGCCAGCCACATGCTATGACACAAAAAAAAAATCCAGCTATTCAGTTTAAAATTAAACGTAAGATTTGCACATTTTTTAACAGATATCTCTATAAATAAATATAGGCATGCAGTGAAGTTAATTAGAGTATCTCCCAAACTTTGAGCACCACAAAATAAACCATTATATACACTTACCTGAAATCCACTAAGAAGGGTCTCCATCTGTGATAATATGTTGTCACAATCCCGAATTTGGTCATGTAGTAAAACTAAATTATCACTCTCTTTAATGTAGTCCTGCACCATGAGAGAAGGTAAATGTTCTGTAATAATAAAACAAATTCCAAGATGAAAAAACTAAACCCAGATAAAAATGAGAACTGCAGTAAGCAAGAGTATGTTCTGCATCAAATTTCCTTGTAATGTTCTCATTTTCAATAATGGTCGAGCCATGCAGATTTTCTAAAACATTACTTTGGTGAATCTTTAAAACTGCTCAACAAAAGTGATGAAAAAAAAGGAACTGATGCCAAAAACTTGCATCAGCCGCCTTTCATTACAGTGAAAAACTAAAAATCAAAATGCAATGCGTTCAAAATAAAAATGCCCTAAAATTCTAATCGGGCCAAAAAATTGGCATCTAGAGTTGTCTCATTAATTTTACTACATCCAAGAAAACCGTTAACCATCAAGGAGAATATAGTCACTAGGAAGCAAGCACAATTTGATCCAAAGACCTTGGCAACAATTTCAAAGAACTGAACTAGCTAGCACCCACAAACCAAGAATATGAATTTATTTTCAGCTGAAATTTTCATCTTCAATTAATTAATTCAGTTTACTAATGAAAGCACACAATAAACCTATTGTGAGATGCAAAACACAACTCCTTTTGTATATAAAAAAGAAAAAGTAAGAGGGTGAGTGAATAAGTCCCTACTATTATGTGACAATCCTCATGAAAGAAATGTATTCCCGTCCATGAAACCCAAAACCCCTTCTCAAAATAAGAGAATAGTTATTGGTAAAAAAAGAAAAAAGAGGAAGGAAGAATACAACACCGTAAAAAATTCAACCTTTCATGTGGAAAGATATGCAGTTTCTCACAAAGTAACTATTTAAAAAATCTCAAACAATTCCTGATATGAGATATTAATTCTTCAAGTTTCGCAGTTTAGAAAGAAAATACTATTTATGTGGTGAGGAATGTGGATAAGTCCTAACTCTAAATGACTTGCACAATCCTACAAACCAAACATACTCATGTCTCAGAATACCAAAACCCTTTAGACAATAGTTGCAAGCAGAATATTAGAAGGAAAGCATGAATTCAAAACTCAAAATTTCATATTTTCATACCAAAAATATGCAGTTTCTCAAGAAGTTATAAATAATATCAAACATAACATGACCCGTAATTCCAAATTTTACTCAAAACCTGCAAACATAAACACTTTTGACCGAATGAAAGACCCAACAAAGGCACTTATCATGGTCTAGTTTAGGATGTAAACCAACGACCAATCTAGAACCACATTAAAGCAGTATAAGCCAGTGCAACCATAAAAAAAAAGATAAAGTATGGATTTAAAAGCTTCCATACACAACAAATTTTCTTTCCCATGCACACCTAGATGTCACTTTACCCATACGCCCCCCTCCACACTAGAATCTTACTATCAGGCCTTCCCTCCCCAGCTCTCTGCCTCGATATGACCAACACACTCATGGCATTCAGGAGTACAAACCGGAGAGAAATTTCTGAGGCATGAGAAGAATCTGTAACTTCCCCAGATACACCTTTGTCTACCAATGGGAAGATTTTGATCTGACCCAAGCTAAATATCTAAGGCGATAAGGGTTAATTGAATAAAAAGCCTAAACAATAAACAATTTGATCAAACACAAAGCTGCCAATCAAAATCCACCCAAATAGAACATGATTGACCCTCTTAGTGGCCTAATTTGAGCATTACATAAAGACAAAATCACTTATTTAGAATAAAACCCAAGGGCTAAACCTATTCTAGTATGAAATCACTTTACTAATCCCTAGCCACAAGCTACCTGCTACACGCCTCACAGGCCACCTCACTCAATCTCCCACCACAACTGCGTACCCTGTCATTTGCCAATCCCCCTTCTTAGTTTTGTCGTCATTTATCTTTATCTTTTCTTTCCCCATTCTGCTCTCTAACTCAGAATTTGAAAGCATCATCAAATCCAATCAGCATCCCTATCTTCCTTAATCTATCCTAACCATTCTGTTGCCGCCAAAATGTTTTCTCCAAAAATAGTATCACCAATTGTCTGGTTTAGATCTTGCTACTACATTCATCAACTTTGAATACAGCAATGTCAACAATCTCAAATCTGCTCACCACTATTGTTGGCCTAATTGAGCAGAAATAAAGCTCTCTCCGGGACATTCGACAACCTTCTACACAGGCCATCATGCTACCAAACTGCTGTCCCGGCATGCGGTTTGCTGTCCAGCTGCAGTTCTTCGACATTCCTCAACCCCCGTCATCATCTTGTCTATCGTTTCTCACCCCACAACCCTCCTAAGCTTCCCACACCATCTAGTAGCCCTAGATCAATGTCCAATAGTGCCAACATATAACAAACTTTGTATCACAACATGTTCATGTTCAAGAAGTCCACAAATTAGTTGTCCACTTCCAGGTTGGGCAATTTTTGCAGTATTCCCTTCGGCTTTATTTTCATTTAAATGTATTGAATTATCCTAAATGTTGAACAATATTTGATTATTATTAATGTAACTTCTTGGGAAAGCCCAAATGCATTTAAGATAAAAGCATTAGCAAGTCCTCACGAATCTCAAGATATTCATAGCCAAGATGTCTTATATTTCAAATTAATCATATTCTTCATGTAATCCAGAACTTTTATCTAAGAAATTCAACCCCTGGAAAGATAATATTCAGCCAAAAAATGTGAAAATATAGCACTAGAAACCTATACAAATGTTGATTATACAAGATATCTTACTGACAGAAGATTGTTCTCGAGATATTATACATTACTTGGAGAAAGTCTTGTAATATAAAGAAAAAAAAAAGAAAACGAACTGTCTCAAGATACCAAGTGAAATCCAGGCTGAGATTCACTGCACGAAAAATATATAGACTTCTATGACTAAAAAATAATTGAGGAGACTTGAGGATTAAATGAGAAGAAACTACAAGGTTGTACTGTAATAACAAACATGAAATCAGTTCGCCCAGGGAAAAAAGAATGTCATGGATCCGTTCACCCACGAAAAGAAGGAAACCATGGATCAGATGCTCATGTTGGCAATATTTCAAGTAAAAAGACATATTTCTTGCAAGTTATTTGTGCTGTAATTTGAATTGTTTCCTTAAAAAGAGAAGTCTCATGTTGCATTAATATTCATTTCTTTTATATTGTAAATTTAAGCCTTATGCTGAATAGAATATTTTCACTATTTAATTGAAAAGTGCATGCATTCTCCACAGAAAGTAAGCAGAGAGTTAAGAACCAAGGGAAAGCCTGCTGACCTGTATGGAGTCCAGTTCAACTTGGAGTAGATTATTTTCCACACTTTTTGTATGCTCCCGCAATTTGGTTCCTCCACAAAGTATGTTCGCAATTTCCTGTTACGATAGAAGAAAAAATGGTCTTTTAAGTGATAATAGACATACTTCCAGAAAATAGACATGGATTATGATATATGCCTGGGTGTGATGAAATTGAAATTAAACTAAATATGTAGATTTCATGCAAATCGAAGAAAAAAACTAATGAGCAGGCCCACTCAAAACATAAATGCTCACCAACTAAAAGATGGGAAGTTGTCAAATCAGAAGTTCTGATATCAATTTCCAGCAACTAAAGATAAAAATGTTGAGAAATCTTTCAAGAAAATACTGCTAAGAAAAAATGAACCAGAGATCTACTGCTATTAGGCCTATCATAAACAATATACAAGAACTTCATTCATGTACATAAATGGAAGAGTAGCGGGTGAGAGAACTCCAACCACCTTTAAAATCCATAAAGTATCTAATAAAATAAAACAAACTTATCAACAAACTCCAGAAAAATAAGAACCTTTTCGAATGGAACCTCTGTACACTTAAGTCTTCATTAGAAGTCACTATGGATTTACAATATGATCTTCATTCTGAGGGTCAAGGAACGCATTTCACCTTTGTGTCACACAAAATTATATTTATCTTGTAGTAATTCCATCTAAATGAAAAAGTGTTGATACTCAAAACTGTTGTGTTGTCTTTAGTTTGAAAGGTTAGAAAGAAAGTGAAGGCAATAAAGCAAATTTTGCGTAGACAGACCAACATATCAACATCCTTCCCTAACCCAATATTAGATTATCTACCCTAACCCAGAATTATATAATCTATGAGTAACTATAACAAGAGTAAAAAAATCGACATCCTTCCCAATTATATAATTCAAATACTTCAGGTTCAATAACATATCAACTAATCAACACCAACACTTGGGACTTAACAGAATTAAAAGAAAGCACATAGAGCAGAAAGAAATTTTATGATCATCATGCGAATGAAACAAAACTTAACAATATCATAGAAAAATTTTCACATTGAGTACAATAATGATCATCATAAAAAAAAAGCTAAAAGGTAAAGAACATATACTATCAGGTAATAATAATTAAATATACATACATCATCATCTTTACATTCTTCCAGCTCCTCTTGCAGTCCCTCCAGAGATACATCATCACTGTGCAGAAAGAGATGCTAAATAACTATGTACAACCAGAAGTAATACAGCAGTTTTTACATAATTATTGCTATTTAAAAAAAAACAAAGAATGGATGTAACAGTAAGTATAACAAAAACAACTTGGGCATACCAACATGCATGCCAAAAAAAATTTAAAATAGAACCGTGAAAATCTGATGCAAATATTTACGTTTACTTTCATCAGAAGCATCACATCAAGGAATCTCAAACTTGTTGTAGTTTAAAAACTCAAGTGATCGACTCTAATTTACCAATCAACGAATCATCCACTCTTCAAACCTCCACCAATCTCAGGCACAGTTAATGCTATCCTTCAGTGAAAAAACACATCTTCACGAATATTGCACCATCCGTTGGGATTTTCTTTAACACTTGAAGTGAAGAAAACTCAAGTCAACTTGGGATTTTCTTTAACACTTGAAGTGAAGAAAACTAAAGTCAACTCTTCACAAGAACAACAAAAAAAAAATATATATATATATATATTCGAGAAAGAAATCGGTATTTGGCAGAGGCTCAAATACCGATTTACCATGCGCTAGGCCCCAAGATGAGAGCTCGTGTCATGTGCAAATTATTCGAGAACCCCGCGCCACGAGGGATCAAACCCCTGACCTGAGGGGTCTACCCCGCCACCAACAGGTCAAAGCTTGCGAGTATATATATATATATATATTATAGGAAGAGCTACTCATGGCTCCTTACGCGTTAAAAACAAAGGCGGTTACAAAATATTGGAGGGAAAAGGGATCCCCGCTAAAATAAAGAAAATACAGATGGTCTTAGGGGTTCCTTTTTCTGCATTACAACTCCACCCAAAAAGAAAATAAAGATGAAACAAAGGTAAATGTAAACCAAAATATACATGTATCCAACCAAAACGTATACCCAAAAATTGAAGTATACCCTATATGAACATGTATAACAAATGAAACAGAATTAGCGCAAGTTGCAAGCCAAAAACCAGACGTCTTGAAAGCTGGAAATAGCAGGAACGAGCAAATCCCAAAATTCAAAAACCTGCAGCTCAAAAACCGTGAAAACACTAAACAAGCAAGAAGACAAGTGAGCAAAAAAAGAAAGATAATGCTCCACAGTCCTCCAACCCCCCTTCCAGAAATGAATATCATAAATAAGGAGCCACTTTCCAGTCCTAGAGAAAGAGTGAAAGACCCGTAAATATTTGGAGCCACGAGCCTTCAATCAAAGATATCAAGCCCGTTTACAGAAAAAAGGAAAAGCTGGAGCAATATACTTAAACTCCAATGCCCAATCTCAACTGTGAATCCAGAAAAATTACTGCAAATCCCATACGCGTATCTCCACTAAATCCCCCCCAAGCCAAAATCCGATGTACAACCCAACTCCAATGCCACCAAAACATTGCCAAAGTAAGGACCCTTGGGCCTCCCAAAATAATCATCTCATATGTAGCAAAGGAGCCCTGGGCCTCCATGCTAGCATTAAAAAACCATCCACCATGTGAAGCAAATATACCTGCTCCACACAAAACCAAGCAACCAAAACACCCGGAAGTAAATAAATAGGAATAAATACAGGCCAAAAAAGAGCCTGGGCTGAAACATACCACCCGGCTAAAGAAATTGATTTAAGAGGAAACATCCCTTCGAATATAAGGAGCATCGATATTGTCACCAACCAGCAGAGTGTGTAAAGAAGGGGGGGAGTAGATCCCACCCTACAAATATAAGTGAAACTACCTAAATTAGCAAGCCAATTAGCGGGTTAATTACCCTCCCGGTAATTGAAACTCCACATGACATTCATATTTGAGATTAAGTCTTTAATCCACTTTATATGATAAAGTATATCCCAAGGGGCGTCGGCACCATTTGCCAAAATATCAACCAAGATTCGATTATCACATTCAAAAATAATAAACTATCAGCTGAGAAATTGAGTCATAATAGCAACCGTTAAAATAACTTGAGCCTCAGCCTCTATAGGAGTATCTGCATAAGAAGGAGATGAAAAGAAAAGAATATAGTTCCCTGCATAGTTCCTAGCAGTGCCCCCACATCCAACACTGTTGGTTTTCCAACTCACATCCGTGTTAAACTTTATCCAGCCCGTAGGAGGTGGCCGCCATCTAACCAAGATCGGTGGATGAGAGAGTCTCCTCTCATCCAAATTCGTATGTCCCAAAGAAAGAAAATAATTGATGTCCGAAAAGAAACTTTTTTTAAAACTCTCTATTCTCCACAGTTCATTAATGTATGCAATGATATTAGTAAAGACCATCATATTCTGAATAGTCTTACCTTCATGAATAATGTCATTACGAGCCATCCAGATAAATCAACGTATGATGTAAGGGTAAATTTGCCAAAAATGTTTCTGCTTACGGTCCGGATTGCAAATCAAGGTAGTGAGCAAAAGATTCCTCTCAGGAGTAACTATAGTGCCAAACCACAAACCAACCTTCCTCCACATAAAAAAAGGAAAAATGACGAGAAGAAAATATGCTATACAGTCTCCTCCGCCGAATTACACAAACAATAACGAGAGGCGATTCTCAAACCTTTCAATTTTAATTTATCATCACATGGTATTATAGAATGAAAAATGCGTCATGCCAGAAAAGACATAGAAGGAGTTAATGCCCAACTCCACACCCCCTCTCCCCAAGGGATTTTTTGAAAATTATGCAAAGAGGCATATAAAGATTTAGTGATGGAGCAAGTCATGGAAAATTTCAAAGTAGGAGTATCATGCAATTGAGGATCAATAGGAATGGTGAAAATGAACGTAGCTCCCTCCATCCCCAAAATGTTAGTAAGAAGAGAAGAATTCCAATGATCGTCAACCCAAGTATCCGACACTTTGAGACTGGAACACCTTGTATCTCGCATATCAAGTAAAACATGGGACCAACAATCTTGCCAGAAAGAAAGATTTCCACTACCCACCCCCCAGTAAATGAATTTTTTTGCCCAATCTCTAATATGAAGCAATCTCTTCCACATCGTGGAATTCCCCAGCCGCCAATTAATCAAAGCAAAATGAAAGAAACAGCAATATTTCCCGTGCATGAAATTAGCCAATAAAAACTCTCTTTTCCTGAAATTAAATTTTGCTTAAAAACATTAATATCAACAATATGGTGCAGAGATTTGAAACCCAAACTACCAACATACAGGGTTTTGCAAATATCCTTCCAAGGCATCCATCTTCTACCAGAGTGATTTCCCACCCATAAAAACTAATTGAAACATCTTTCAAGGTTCAAAATAGTGATTTTTTTTTGTTGAAGTACTTGAAGAGTGTATAAAGGAAGAGAGTGATGGATACCCCTGAGCAGTGTAATACGACCCCCAAAGGAAAGAAAATTATTTTTCCAATCCAAAATTCTTTTCCGTACCTTTTCCACTACCTCATCAAACTGTATATGTCTCTTCATGCCTAAGGAGAAAAATCCCCAGATATTTAAGAGAAAGGGTAGAGAGAGAGAAACTCGCAAAATTGGCAATCTAGCATGCATTAGAACGATTGACCATGTTTCCCAAGTATAGGTTACATTTACTAGCATTAAATGAAAAACCAGAGACACATTGGAAGTCAACCATTAAGCTCTGAATCTCCTTCACCGTATATTTGCTAGCATTAGAAAACAGGATCATGTCATTGGCATAAGTTAAATGAGTGACCACCATGTTAGATTTATGAGCATATTGCAACTTGGGGTTTCTTCTGAAAAGATTGTTTAACAGGCAAGATAGATAAACAAAAATTAAAATGAAAATAGTAGGGGATAAAAGATCTCTCTGCTTAATCCCGCAGCCCGCACTAAAAAAGCCTCAAAATTGGGCATAAATGAGAATGCTATATTTATTGCAATGAAGCCAAGAGAGGATAATTTTGAATTTTGCAAAACTCCTGCAAAACTCCTAAGAGAAACCTCGAGCCTGAAGAATCTTCAAAATAAACTCTCAACTGATAGAATCATAAGCCTTACGGATATCCAATTTAATGATCATGCTGCCCCCTCTACATTTTTTATCAATGTCAAGAATGAGCTCCTGTGCCAGCTTGATGTTATCAGTGATCCCTCGCCCCTGAATAAAGGCAAATTGATTCAAAGAAATTAATTTGTTGAGATGAGGTTGAATGCGTCTGACCAAAATTTTACTAATCAACTTTGAAATAACAGAAGTCAGAGAGATGGGTCTAAAATGATCCCAAGAGCTCTTTTGAGTATTTTTAGGAATGTGAACAATTGTAGCGGCAGAGAAATAATTTCCTGGTGTTTTCCCTTTAAAAAAACTATGGATAGCCTCCACTACCTGGTTCTTAACAATACTCCAGCATTTAATGTAGAAAGCAGAAGTGAAACCATCTGGCCCTAGAGTTTTATTACAATTAATCTCAAGAAGAGTAGAATAGATTTTCTCAGTCGAGGGAATACCGTAAAGATCAAGGTCCACCATGTGATGACATACATCATCAAATAAAGAAGCATCAATGGAGCCCGAAGTCTCATGGGACTCATAAAGTTTAGAAAAGTAAAGAACCGCACTCTCCCCTATCTCCTCATCTCCAATAATCCAGTTCCCCTCATTGTTTTTAACCCTCACAATGGTGTTATTAGCTCTTCTTTGTTTCTTCTCTTCTTTGTTTAATGCAGGCATGAAAATATTTAGTGTTTCAACCTCCTTAAGAGAAATGGGTCTCCTCAATTTTTTGTTACAACAACTCCTCCCAAAGAGAGACCTCCAGTAATTCTTTATTAGCTTCATATAAATCGTGGATGATATCATTAGTATTCTCATCAAGAGCCTGAAGCATACTCACCCTATGTTCGGCCCTTTTGACTCTAGCATGTGCATCACCAAAAACATCTCAATTCCAAGACCTTAGGGCAGCAGCCACCTTCTTATGCAATTTTCAAAGAGTCTACCAAGCATTGCCCACCTCCTCACATTTCCAATCTCCGCAATTAATCTCAAAAAATCATC